TTTTGTTAATGGCATCCCTTCTATCTCTTTACTTGTCTGAGTTCACAGAGGTCTGAGCAGGCCGGGTTATTATTTTTATTATACAGGATTTATATAGTGCCAACAGTTTATGCAGCGTTCTCTACAACGTAAGGGCAGAAAGTATGATTACAATACAATTTAATACAGGAGGAATCAGAGAGCCCTGCTCGTTAGAGCTTACAATCTAAGAGGGCAGGTCAAGAGATTCAAAAGGTAATAACTGTGGGAGATGAGCTGATGGAGAAAATAGAGGTCCATTTGTTAGGTGGGGGCAGGGTAGGCCTCTCTCAAGAGAAGGGTTTTCAGGGAGTGTCTAAAAGTGGATAGAGTAGGAGATAGTTGGGGAGATTGGGGTAGAGAGGCTTAGGAGAAGTCCTGGAGGTGACCATGGGAGGTGACAAGGTTGCTAGAGAGCAGGAGGTCCTAGGAGGAATGAAGAGAACGGTTAGGCTGGTATTTTGAGACCAGGTTAGTGATGTAGCTGGGGGAGAGTTGTGGATAGCTTTATAAGTTGTTAGTATTTTGAATTTAATTCATTTGGTGAATGGCAGTGAACTGAGGGATGGCAGTGAGGAGTAGCAGACACTGAGCGGTTGGTTAGGTGATGAGTCTGGCAGCAGCATTCATGAGGGACTGAGGGGGATAGCCTATGTAAAGGTAAGCCAATAAGGAAAGAGATGCAGTAGTCGAGGTGAGAGATCACCAGGGAGTGGACTAGGATCTTTGTGGTGTCATTGGTTAGGAAGGGTTACTGTATGTCAAATAAATAACGTTAACACACCCCAAATTTCATGTAAATAATAGTTTTTGCATTGAATAGTAGAAAAGATACAACAAAGAATATATACAAAGGCTTTACAAAGTGGTATCCTAGTACAATTTGCCAGTACCCCTATATTGGTTAAACACCAATACTTTTGGATCTATTATAAAGTTGTGATAGATACCACTTTAATTTATATGAGCTTGAATGGTTGACTTTCTTTGGCCTGGCCATCAATGCAAGTTTTATGTATTGAGTTTCTAAGATGCTGCTAGGCTAACTAGGATCTTTTAATCCATTCCATTCATTCAGTCAATCCAGGTGCTGTTTTTTTAGCTTCCTGCCAAATGTGCTTAAAACAGCTTCAATGGGAGCCTCAAAAAGCGCATCTGTGTAAGATATACAACTCACATTAGTATAAAAAAGTGCATGGTTACCCCTTCCAAATAGCTGTGGAATTTTTCTCCATTTTCTCAGAGCTGATGTAAAACTTAGGTTGTCAGGCTTTTTGGAGGACATTGAAGAGAACACAAATGTGTTAATTACTTGCAAAAATAGATATTCAAAAGCAGCCAGTGTTTGTCCAGTCCTAACATGTCTACCGGACTAGCTGTTACTCTCTATATGCCCCCTGTAAAATATTGAAGGTTGCTTTGGGCCAAGCTGCTTGAAAAAAGATATCTGCGGTCATTATAGCAAGCAGATGGTGGCCAAATACAAGACTTGGTTCACATGTGCCATAAATCTACATATTGTTCTTTTCGAGAGAGATGAATGAGCTAAAAAGAAATAAATAAATAGTTAAAGCAAATTCCAGACAGACCGTTAAATACACAGTTGATATACTTTATCTGCCAAAAGTATTGTAATTCTGTCCAACCAACCTTGAGGCCAAGGAACATCTACACAATCGATGTGAATGGGGGAATCTCTCCCGCTGAGCAATTGTGTTTCTGATGTCAGGGAGACTTCCCATCCATCAGAATATGGCGGTGCTGATCATGTGAACATTTTACAACAGCTGGTTGTACAAAAGTCAGTTTGCAAAATTTGGCCTGTCCCTGGTAAACTGGCAGAATTTCAATCCATGTATGGCTGGCTTAAGATTGCATTGCTTGGCTGATTTTGCAGTCATAAGCATGTTCAAGTGATTGAAATTGGCCAACAATTACAAGATCTATAGACAGTATCAGTGGTAGACAGCACGGTGTCTCTCGATCCTGCCATACAGGATGTTGATACAAAGACTTTTTTGGGTATTTCTGCAAACTCTTTGTAAATTTTATTTATTTTTTTTCTTAATTTGTCCATAAAGAGATTACAAGGTGGCCCTATTATAAATATGGACAGGCAGTAAGAGTGCCAATTCAGAAATCAAGGCTATAAACTACCTTGGCATGCAGAAATGTAACTGCTAACACATAATTAGAAACAAATTAATTTCAATACGTTGTAATTAAAATAATTGCTAGTATGGGTTAAATAGCTTCATCAAACCTATATGCAGCTCAGCCAAAGCCAAGTACCAGGAATGGAGATGCAAGAGATGAACACATAAAGACCACAACAGTGGAATCCATACATGGAATAGAAGACTTTTGTGTGTTCACTTGTGTAACATTCACCGTGGCTTTCATGGTCGCAGCAGCAGCTTGAATGAGCTTGAATATATAATTAGATCTGTGGTCCCACCTTTCATAACTTAATCAAGTGAGTGTGTTTTACTTTTTAATTCATAAAGAGTACGTACAAAATGTCTCATGAAAGCACTCTAAAATGGAATTGTTATGGAAATTAAGGTATATAAGGGTTTCCTTGAGTGTTTAAGGATCAGAAAAAAAAATAGTACAGTCCAAAAGTTGCTTGGTGTATGCTTCCAGTGGGGTCAAAGTTTTATATCTATTTTTTCTAATTACAAATATAATGGCAATAAAACTATATAGTATATGTTTAGAGGCAACCTTATGTGAAAACCACATCAAAATGATCAGTAGGTCCAGAGGTATATAAACAGCTGAAATTAAATGAAAATGTCATTTTTTTCCTGTAAAATTCACACTTGGTCAGGCCTCCTCCCACGTCTCTTGCTCGGTTTGAACTACCCATATTTGTGGTAGGTCTACTTTAACTTTTTACACTTTATTTAGACAGTTTCATTCAAACTGTTTAATATGTGATGGTTTTAAAATATGCCTACTCTAGGACTGAGCTTTGCAAAAGCAGTAATCACGATTTTTTCACAACATAACTTTTAGATGTGCCCAACAAATCCTGCCTCAATACCTACATTTGTGATGAAACAGTTGTCAGCCACTTGACTGGTTCAAGACATTTCTCAATACTACATGGTAGTTACTCCCAAATTAGAATCAAGTGTCAGAATAATTTATTTGATATGAAAATGTGGTCTTTTTGTGGTCTTCCTGTATTCCCCAACATTTTGTGAATGGAGAATGTACAAGAGTGCCATGCTATCATATGATCATGCCTGCCCACATTAGGATCAATAGAGCAAGCACTTATCAAACTAGTCCTTAATAACAAACACATAGAGGTTGATTTACTACGGCTTGGTTCACACTTGTGGTCTGGTTGCGGGTGCAGGAATTGCATCTGTTCCTGCACCTGCAACCACCTGCAGCCGAATCGCACTGTTCTTGCGAGACATGCGGGGATGCCATTCATTCTGAATGGCACCCCCATGCATCTCAGCCCCCAGAGCATTTGCGGGTGTGGGAACCACAGGGGGAAAACATATGGTCAAAAAGACCATGAGGTTTCCCTGCAGCTGTGCTTTTCCTGTGGGAATCGCAGCACAGCAGCCCAGTCAAGTGAATAGGCTGCATACCCAAGCAAAGCTGCACGGCCCACAATAGTGTGAACCAACCCTAAGGCTCCACGAACACTGGGCGTTTTAATAATGCTGGTAACGTTAGCTGTGTAAAGTTTTTAAGTGTTTTTGCATTAGTGTTTAGCTGCGTTTTTCGCGTTTGCTCTTTTTTTAACCAAAAACATTTTTTTTTTTGCTCAAAAAAAGTCCAAAAAACGCCGGTTTGCCACATTTTACTGTGTTTTGCCATGTTTTCAGCATTTTTTCAGCATCAGAGCGTTTTTACAGCTAAAAAACCTAACTGTGCATGGTAGCCAACAGCTTCTAACTTCAACTTATTCAGTTAAAACAGAGTTCCAGTCACATTGTAAAAAAATAAAAGTCAGCAGCTACAAAAACTGTAGCTGCTGACTTTTATAAAAACAGCCACTTACCTGTCCCTCGATCCCGTGGTGTCCTCCCTGCAGCCGGTTTCAATGGCCATCTGGTGTTCCAGGCACTGGCATCTTCATTGTTGGCACCCAACTGTGACAGCTTGTGGCTTCACAGCCATGTGCCCACTGTGCATGCGGAAGTAGCGTCGCACTTTGTGAATGGTACCTTAGATTGTACGCCCCTTGAGGGTTGGGGACTGATGTGAATGTACAATATATGTGTAAAGTGCTGCGTAAATTGACAGCACTATATAAGTACCTGAAATAAATAAATAAAATGGTCCCATAGTCTTCTTGGACCTGTCACTTGGGGGGAGGAAAACTTCCGCTTCCAATCGCCTAGGCAATCACAACAGAAGTGGGAGTGGGTACCTGTCGATTTCGGGTACCCGCTCCCCAAAGGTGCCAATCCTTAATAGGGAGCTAAGGACCAGTTTTTAAAGTGGAACTTCTTTTGGATGAAGCTCCGCTTTAAGCTTTGACAATACAACCTGGAAGCTGATTGTTTTCTATGTAGAGCTGCACCAGATTTTACCCTCTCCAGTTTTAGTAAATCAACCCTACAATGTGACACTTGCAAACCAAGTCACTGACACTATCCAGAATGCAGTAGCGGTTGAGTAAAGAAGCCAGTTGTGTCTCTGTTGTTCACCTGTGAAAGACATTAATTGAAGTGAGAGATATCTTCATTGACTCGTCAATTGCTTCATGGTTTCTGGTCATTATCAGTCACTTGAATACATTGCCCACATTAGTAGCTATCATTGTTATGTACCTATCCTGCATAGTAAATAAGAGTGTACAACAGTTTTTTTTCCCTTCAACTCAGGAAGCTTATAGCCATTTCCCTTTCTGACTCTTTTTCAGTTAATGAGCAACCTAAAGTCTCTGGTACTGCAACAACTTCTGCCAGAGCCGCAGAGGTGAAGCAGTGTGCGTTCTCAGGGGGAAGATGACTTACTGTACGCAACTAGGACTCCTTCTCTGGAAAAACTTCACCTACCGACGGAGGCAGACAGTAAGTTTTTCTCTTCTTCTAAATGTCTTTCAACCGTCCTTTCATTTTTATTGAGTAGTAGTTATGTTACTTTGCTTGGTGATCTGTTGAAACAAGATTTATGCCTTTTAATGTTGTGACATAATATTCATCATTTATGTGCATTGTGTTAGCACACGTTGACAAGCGTGTTCACTGGCATTGCGTTTTGGAACAATCTTAGTTCCACTAATTTTACTGTCAGGCTCAGGGAAATGCATCCAAGTGCAGCATTCAGGGCTTTTTCAACATACATCTGTACTGGGAATGGATGGTATAGAAAACAGTGAGGGGAGGGAAGGAATTAAAACGGGAACAGACAAAATCTGGAGCAGCTGTGCGTAGCAACCAGTCAGCTTCTGTCTTCAGTTTTCTCAGTTAAGCGTTGAAGATGAAAGATAGAAGCTGATTGGTTGCCATGCACAGCTGCTCCAGATTTTGGCAGTTCCAGTTTTGATAAGTTCCCTTCAATGTATTTTGTTATTTGCTTCATTTTGCCTAAGTTGGAAAAACAGACAATGCATCTGGTGTAGACTCCTCATCACAGATTTCCTTAAAAGAGAAGTGTGGACCCCCCCCTCCATTTATACTTACCTAGGTGGATGCATCATTGATCCGATGCTGTATCTGTCCTCCGTCTGCTCTAAGTGTGAGAACTTTGAGAGCACATAACTGTTGGTTGCTGAGTTCTCACAGCCGTTCTGAGCAGAGAGTGGTGACTGTCAGTCAACGCTCTCTGCTCTGCCCCCCCAGTGCTCACTGGAGTGCTGGGCTGTGGAGGGGGAGAGAGCAGCTGGCTCAGGCTCTCAGCGGCTCACCAAGAGGCTGAACCAGGTGCTGCTTCAGACTCTGCGGTGAATCCCGACTTTGATCTTTCCCTAGCCTGGACTATCTGAGTGACATCAGCCGACAGCGGGCTGCAGCCCGCTGTCTGTTGAAAATGGGTCACAGGACGGCAGAACAAACTGCACTCCTGTGATCTACAGGAGAAGTACAGCCAAAAGAGCTTTGGCTGTACTTCTCCTATAAAGTGGTTTTAAAGCCTGAACATGTTTTACCTTAATGCATTCCCAAAAAATTTTTTTACGTAAAAATATTTATATTTAGATAAAAATGTTTAGGTAAAAATATTGCCCCCTCACCCCTTATACTTACCTGAGCCCTCACCCTATCCAGCATTATGCCTATCTATACCAGCCGTCTCCCTGTTCCCACAGGCTTTGCTGAGGCAGTGGAAGCCATTGGCTTCCACTGCTGTCAGTCAAATCCTATGATGGACAGGGGGCAGAACCGAGCAGCTCTGCCTGTGCCTATGGACACAGGCAGCTCGGCTCTGGATCAAGCCTTCAGGTGTGCCACAATAAGAAGGGGCTATCTGTGGTGGCACACCACAGAAGAGGAGAAGCCAGGAGTATTGGTGGAAGACCCCAGAAAAGGAGGATTGGGGCCACTCTATTGCACAAAGCAGGTAAGTATAACATGTTTGACATAAAAAAAAATTACACTTTACACTCACTTAAATGTTGCTTTTTACAGATATTGTTATGCAAACTCAACAGTAAGAGTAGAATCTTATTATATTGCATTTCTTAACACACATCGATTAGTCTTTCCTAATTTCTCTGTACATTCTTGAAACTGGATCTACACAACTGCAGATGTTGCTGTTCACAGCTGTCAGTTACATAATAATAAAAATGTCTTTGTAAGTGTTTGTGGAGATCTAGATAACAAAAGTCCATGATGACATACTCCACATGTCATGAATTATAGAATTTATAGACCAATTGCTTCAGTATCTGCTTTGAACCCTACAGCCAGCCAAAGGTGCTTTCAGCTTGTTGTAGAACTGCATGTCCCAGCACGCTTTGCTCCTTGACCTTGTCACTTTGCACCTGGTGTGTCATATGCACCTTAACGGTCTGCATTTGGTTAACTGTAACCAGATCACTACTTTTTAAAATAGGAATCCTGATTGATTGTTATTAGTTACTGTATATGTGCCACTTTTTTTTTTTTTTTTTTTTAAAGAAAGCCACATATTTATTGATTATTTTTCTGTATATGTGGAAACGAAAATCACTCATGTTGCTAATCTTGGTTAATTTAGACATTTTGCGTGATGGCAGCAGTATTACCATATGATGCAAGGGTATGCAGTCAGTGAATTTTATATAACTTTTAGGTAAAATGAATTATGCATTAATACATATAGGGGGTGATTTACTAAAAACTGTACAGTGCGAAATCTGGTGCAGCTGTGCACGGTAGCCAATCAGCGTCTAACTTCAGCTTGTTCAATTAGGCCATAATAAAAAAAAGTGGAAGCTGATTGGTTCAAATGCAGAGCTGCACCAGATTTTGCATTCTCCAGTTTTAGTACATCAACCCCATAATGTCTTTGGATGCAGACACTCATTTTAATGCAGCCATGAGACCTTTCTGCAGATTGTAGTTCAGCAAAACAGTCTGATCTGGGACCTGTCCCAGCCTGCAAATGGACAACAGTGGAGCAGGAATACACTTGAGTTAATCAATCTGCTCTCCCCTCCTGTAATGTAGCCCCCAATGTTAGATGGACAGCACTGTGTATTGTAGTAAAACCCATTTGGCTTAGGGTTCTTTCACACTAGTGTTCCGGGTTTTTTTTCTTCAGTTCAGACACGGTTTTTCAAAGGAAAAAATGGATGAGTTTACATCTGTTTTTTTCATCCGTTTACATCTGTTTTTCATCTGGTTTTTTTTTCATCCATTTTTCATCAGTTTACATACATTTACATTGGTTTCCATCCGTTTTCCATCCGTTTACATCAGTTTTTTTCATCCGTTTAAATCCGTTTTAATCCGATTACATCCGTTTTTGGTCCGTTTACATCCGTTGGCATCCATTTTTCTTCCGGAAGAAAAATAGGGTTTTCTTCCATTCAAAAAAAACAGATGTTAACGGATGCGGACATTAACAGATGTAAAAAGATGTTCATCCGTTTACATCCGCAAGTCCATAGAAATACATGGGGGTCCATTTTTCATCCGTAAACGGAGAGATGAAAAACGGACATACGGAACACCCGTGTGAAAGGGGCCTTACAGTGCTACCCCTCCCTTTTGTGGTCTGAGTGCAGCTATACAGGCTATATCATGTTAGGCCAGAAGTAGGTATTCTTGCAATCTGTATGTAAAAATACATTTGATTATTTTAATTAGCCCATGTCTGGATTAATTGATGTTTGTTTGGAGCCCAGCTAATGCAATAGACAATGTATGTAGGGTATTTGAATTAATATTAGTGAGAAAATTAGTTATTGTATGTAGTGTTTTGTTTTCAGATTTAACAGTTTGCTATCTGCTTTAGAGGAACATCTACATAGTTGCATTATTTTGCAGACAGCTTTATCTGTTTGGCCTGAATATGATATATGCTGAGTGGGCAGTTGAACAAGCAAAATCTTTCCTAGCCTTGTCTCATTATCATTGTTGACCATATAACATGAACACACTGGGTCAGAGGTCATCTCCAGAAAAGCACTCAACCTGCTGACTAAAGGAAAAAGAGAGCAGCTAATATTCTTTCTGATCCTAAAGGAAATATAATGGACATGTGTTAGAAAATGACCAACAATGTTTTGAGCTCATGCTAATGTTGTACACTGATATATGGCACTTCAGTCAATAATTTATATAAATCTTCTTTTTCTAAATAAATTAAAAAGTTCAAAGTTCCTATTGAACCTGGTAACACCTATTATAGATATAGCTGTAGAGTTAAAAGATACTGTATTCCATTGCATATGTGTTGCATATAAACCTTTGGAACATTATTGATTGTAGTCAAATCTTAAAGCACAACTTTACTTTTGCTTTGAATGCTCTTTGGAAATATAGTCACTTGTCAAAGGTGCAGTGTTTTCTATAGAAATTCTTAGTGGAGTGCATGAGACAAAAATCAGAATGGAAAACTCTTACTCTTCATACAGATTTTTGGTTTGGTGCTATTGGCCTATTACAAGTCTAACTCCTTCGTCTGGCTTACTCTAAACTGTATACAGTCATTCAGCAGTCGCAGAGCTTCATGTACCACAAAAAAAGCAGCAATTTGACCATGGTGGGAAAAAAATAAGCTTGAGTTGTGTTTTGAAATAAACATGAGCAAAGCTAAAGGTCCACTTTTAAAGCAAGTCTATGCAGCATCTCACACTTACCTTTCCTCCCCACTGGTCTATTTATTACTGGGAATGAACATATCCCATATAAGCTAGTTGTAGTTTATACACCACTAAAGACTGGTGTCTGAGTGGTCAACTGCCAGGCAGTATCGCTGCCATGTGGAAGGAAGGGGAGAGTCAATTAATTCATACAGTGGGTAGAAAAAGTCTACACACCCCTGTTAAAATGTCAGGTTTCTGTGATGTAAAAAAATTTGACAAAGATAAATCATTATAAACTGTACAACTGTATCAAAAGCTGAAAAACAAACTGAAATATTTTAGTGGGGGGAAGTTAACATAAAAAACTAAAATAACGCGGTTGGATAAGTGTGCACACCCTCTTATAACTGGGGATGTAGCTGTGTTCAGAATTTAGCAATCACAATCAAAATCATGTTAAATAGGAGTCAGTACAAACCTGCCATCATTTAAAGTGCTTCTGATTAACCCCAAGTAAAGTTCAGCTGTTCTAGTAGGTTTTTCCTGACATTTTCTTAGTTGTATCCTAGAGCAAAATCCATGGTCCTCAGAGAGCTTTAATAGCATCAGAGGGATCTCATTGTTAAAAGGTATCAGTCAAGGAGAAGGGTACTCAAGGCATTAGATATACCATGGAACACAGTGAAGACAGTCATCATCAAGTGGAGAAAATATGGTTCAACAGTGACATTACCAAGAACTGGACATCCCCCCAAAATTGATGAAAAGGTGAGAAGAAAACTGGTCTGGGAGGCTGCCAAGAGGCCTACAGCAACATTAAAGGAGCTGCAAGAATATCTGGCAAGTACTGGCTGTGTGGTACATGTGACAACAATCTCCCATATTCTTCATATGTCTGGGCTATGGGGTAGAGTGACAAGACGGAAGCCCTTTCTTACAAAGAAAATCATCCAAGCCTGGCTAAATTTAGCAAAACAACATCTGAAGGTTCCCAAAAGCATGTGGGAAAATATGTTATGGTCTGTTGAAACCAAAGTTGAACTTTTTGGCCATATTTTCAAAAGATATGTTTGGCGCAAAAACAACACTGTACATCACCAGAAGAACACCATACCCATAGTGAAGCATGGTGGTGAAAGCATCATGCTTTGGGGCTGTTTTTCTTCAGCTGGAACTGAGGTCTTAGTCATGGTAGAGGGGATTATAAACAGTTCCAAATACCAGTCAATATTGGCACAAAATCTTCAAGCTTCTGCTAGAAAGCTGAACTTGAAGAGGAACTTCCTCTTTCAGCGTGACAACGACCCAAAGCATACATCCAAATCAACAAAGGAATGGCTTCACCAGAAGAAGATTTAAGTTTTGGAATGCCCAGCCAGAGCCCAGACCTGAATCCTTTTGAAAATCTGTGGGGCGATCTGAAGAGGGCTGTGCACAGGAGATGCCCTCGTAATCTGACAGATTTGGAGTGTTTTGCAAGGAAGAGTGGGCAAATATTGCCAAGTCAAGATGTGCCATGTTGATAGACTCATACCCAAAAATACTAAGTACTGGAATCAATTCAAAAAGTGCTTTAACAAAGTATTAGTTTAAGGGTGTGCATACTTATGTAACCATATTATTTTAGTTTTTTATTTTTACTTCCCTCCACCTAAAAGATTTAATTGTGATGTTTAACTGAGTTGTACAGTTTATAGTTTACATTAAAGGTGGAAAAAGTTCTGAAATGATTTATCTTTGTCTAATTTTTTTACATTACAGAAACCTGACATTTTAACAGGGGTGTGCAGACTTTTTATATCCACTGTAAATATACCTGGAAAGTTAAAAATAATTATCAACAAACCGGACTTTAATTTACTGTTCCTAGAATGATAAAAAGCTAAATTTTGATTACTGTGCCTAAAGTGAGAAATGATACGTTTTGATTAGTTACTATGGGTTTGCTCTCTGCCTTATGAAGTAAACCCAGTCCACTCTATTTATCTGTTTTCAGTCACAGTTAATACTTGTGGATTTATAATGATTATTTTAGCAGACTCTAAATTGAAATACAAAAGCATAAACAGCATAAACTCCATAATTTGTACTCCACTGAAGGGAAATCAATAAATGAAGCGCCTGGCTGAGATAAAAGCTTTTCTTGCCTCATATCATGACACATTGTTAAATACAATGGGTTGTTTCTTAATACATTTTGAGAAATATTGGCTGGCTAGACATGCATTCTAGAACTATTTAACAACAGAAGACATTATTTTTGACTCATTTGAGTACAACACGGTGGGGCATGAAAACGTGTTTGGTATTTCTTAAATAGGATTGCTATATTATCTGTACTCATTGGTAGTATTGGTATGGTGTAATATTTATTGTTTAAGTATACTTTTGGCTTTAAACATATGAAAAACTAAAAACATTTTTTTAGTTACAATTTATAAGAGAAGCGTTAGAACCCCTGCAGGGTTTTTTGTTTTCGTTATTAAATAAGATATTTTATATAAATTGTAACTGCATTGTTTAGTGGGAACCATTGAGGAAAGAAATATGTGTGATTCCATTGATACCATGTTTTAATATTCAGGTCCTAGGTTTGTCCACCTGAACACTACCTAGTAAGTTGCTGACCTGGAACAAACTAAATATATGTTTAGGCTTTTCAGTGTTCACAGGCTCTTTGCTTATTCCAGGTCATTGATTCACTTGGTAGGAATATCATTATCAGAGTGACGGTCAACAATGGCATCTCCCTATGTTTCTATCCTCATGGTTTGCTTTAAAGGAGAATATTTAACATGTGATCAAGTCATGTAGACTGACTGTAAATACCATGTTTAGGATACTTATAGGCATATATGACTAATGTACAAATAAAGTGCAGCGCTTAGACAATTCAAACAAAAATATATAAAAATAATGTTCAAAAATAATTCAAAATGTTCATAAGTGAAATATCAAATAATGAAACAGAATAGTCCCCAAATGCCGTAATGAGATAGGAAAACTTCCGAGGATAGCCAATGTGACAACAACCACTTGCATGCAAGGCTTACTGGAAAAAATGTGACCCCCTATTAAGAGTGGTCAATCACTCCTTTATTTAATAACATCTGGAGAAATGGGCAGATGAAATTATCCTCTGGATACCCAAAAGAGAGAGCTTGGCGGTCCTCCTATATTGGTCGAAATTTTGGGTTTGAGGATTTTACACTTTGTGGAGAAATCTTTTTTTACATGTCTAATGCCACGAGCTCTAGTTTAATATAACTTGCTTGGAGCGTTCAAAGCCATCATATATAGGGACCGGAATAGGAGGACCACCAATCTCACTTTTGGGTATCCAGATGATTCCATCTGCCCATTTCTCCGGATGTTATTAAATAAAAGCGTGATTGATCACTCTTAATAGGGGTCACATTTTGTCAGGTAGGCCTTGCATGCAAGTGGTTGGTGTCACATTGACTATCCTCTGAAGTTTTCCTTTTTCATCACGGCATTTTGGGACTGTTCTGTTTTGATTTCATTATTTGATATTTCACTTATGAACACTTTAAATTATTTTTGAACATTATTTTTATATATTTTTGTTTGAAATGTCTAAGCGCTGCACTTTATTTGTACACTGTTTATGAGGTGCCTGGTATCAAGTTTGACATTGGCTACATCCCAACTCTTCAACTTAACCTCATCTTTTGCATTAGCACAATGTATACAATGTGGACAACGTAAGACCCATCTCCCTGCTGCCATTACCTCTAAACTCTTAGAACGCTTAGTCTACAATCGCCTGAGCTCCTTCCTCACTGACAACAATCTTCTTGACCCTCTACAGTCTGGCTTTCGCTCACTGCACTCCACAGAAACTGCCCTACTAAAAAACCCCTCCTCCTCAAAAAACTCCACTCTCTTGGCCTCAGAGACTCTGCTCTCTCCTGGTTCTCCTCCTACCTATTGCAGCGCTCTTTCAGTGTTACCTATAAAGCTGCCTCCTCCTCTTCACTCCCTCTTTCCGTAGGGGACCCTCAAGATTCTGTCCTTGGACCCCTTCTCTTCTCCATCTACACCTCCTCCCTTGGTCACTTGATAAACTTACTTGGCTTTAAGTACCATCTCTATGCTGATGACACACAAATCTATCTTTCTACCTCTCACCTCACCCCTTCAGTCTCCTCTCGCATTACTATCCTACTAAGTGACATATCGGCATGGATGTCACTCCACTTCCTCAAACTCAATATTTCCAAAACTGAGCTCTTAGTATTCCCCCCAGCCCGTGCCCCCTCCCCTGACTTCTCCATCAAGATCAATAACACAATCATCAGTCCCTCCCCTCATGCCAGGGTACTAGGTGTAATCCTAGACTCCCATCTGTCCTTTCAGTCCCAAATCCATTCACTGTCCAAATCTTGTAGACTTCACCTCTGTAACATCTCCAAGATACGCCCGTTCCTAACATCAGAAACCACTAAGCAATGTATTCACTCCCTTGTTATATCTCGCCTTGACTATTGTAACTCCCTCCTCATTGGCCTACCTAATTGCAGGCTATCCCCTCTTCAGTCTATCATGAATGCTGCTGCCAGACTCATCCACCTTACTAACCGTTCTGTATCTGCCACCCCTCTCTGCCAATCCCTCCACTGGCTTCCCATTGCCCAACAGATAAAATTCAAAACATTAACAATAACGTATAAAGCCATTTATAACTCTGCCCCAAATTACATCACCGATCTTGTCTCTAAATATCACCCAAACCGTACTCTCCGCTCCTCGCAAGACCTCCTACTGTCTAGCTCCCTTGTCTCCTCCTCCCATGCTCATCTCCAGGACTTCTCCAGAGCTTCCCCCATCCTCTGGAACTCTCTACCCCTCTCCAGATTGTAAGCTCCAAGGAGCAGGGCCCTCCTATCCCTCTTGTATTGAACTGTATTGTCTCCCGTTATATTGTAAAGCGCTGAGCAAACTGTTGGCGTTATATAAATCCTGCATAATAATAATACGTTGCAGTGTTCAGCTGCTATTTATTGGTGCTTTACTTCCTTAGCGCAGATTTTAGGTTTTACTTTATTAGGCATATATGACTAAAACAACTGAATTTAGTTTGTATTCAAAGAAAACAGAGAGTTCAAAAATCTTGTTAGGTTATTTTATTTGGAAGGTAAGGCGCTGAAGAATAAAATGAGATTTAAGATTTATTAAGATAATTTACGTCCACGTAGCCTCCAGCAGCTCTTCCTGAATGTGAATGAAACTTTTGCTACATAGCTGTCCCGTGGAAGACATACTTGATGGGTCTAACTTAGTTTCTAGGAGACGTGGGCCACGTAAAGGCACATCAGTGAAAAGGCCTAAGATGAAATTGGCAGGAGCCCTGCATATGCAGAGATCTTTTATTTTTCCTGAAAAGGTCCCCCCTAGAGAGATCGGACTGGTTCAGTTAACCTTCACACAGGGAATGAGAAGCAGTTCTTGGAACTGAATTAAAGTGGGGCCCCCTCTGTGTTACATGTTTTATGCAATTCCTTCACAATATCCTTTCAGTTAACCTCTTCCTGACCAACTTTGGTTTTTGTTCTTCTTGTCAAAATTCTTGTTATCCATAATAGATGACATAATAAGCATGATAAATTTGTATACTTTTTTTTTTTTTTTACAGCTCCAGCTGCTGGTTGAAGTAGCTTGGCCTCTCTTCATCTTCTTCATTCTGATCTCTGTTCGACTTTCCTATCCACCCTATGAACAACATGAATGTAAGTATAAGTGCAAAAGAATATTAGTGTTACCACGTATTCAAAAATGGAAGTTATGAGGCATATCTTAAAGCGATTCTATAGGTTAATTTTTTGGGAGAAAATAACAAACATGTCTATACTTACCCACTGTGCGGCTTATACTGTATAGTTTTGATAAATCTAAGATTTAGGGATTTTTCTAAAGATGTTTATAAGATTGTAATGTATGTAGTCAGCTTAATTTCAATAAATATTGTTTATTGTACTTGCTGTATCTGTGTGAAGTGACAGTACTTTTTTTATTTTTTTTTGTTTACAAACGATTTTATTGAATAAAAGTAGACAGTAAAACAACAGCACATTTTCAAATAATATTTACAGCAAAAACAAGGCACTTTTGAAAAGTACAATTCAGAAAAGTATATTATAGTAAGAAAGAGAAGAAACAGAAAAAAAGTAGATTGCAAGTACATGAAATACGTTAATGATAAGATAGGTTGAATGATACTTCTGTCAACAGTATATGTCAGTCATTTTTCACTGGAAATGTTGTTAATCATGCAATAAATGTCTATAATCCCTCCATGACTCCCTTTTTTTTATCAAATAAGTGCATCTTATCCAGCAGAGTATAGTGAATGCATTCCATGAGCATTACAGCATCAATTCTGTGTAGGATGGAGGCCAAGGGTACAGCATTGGACCTCCAGTGTAAGGCAATAGACCATAAAGTGGCAATACATATAGTATGTATCAATCTCATAATGGCATCAGGGACCCCTGGGATATGAGCCCCCAATAGACAGGGCTGTATAGACAAGCATACTGGGGTACCCGCCAGTGAGGTAGCCTGCACCAAATCAAAGATATGTACGGGCAATCTCAAAATATACGCACCAAAGTGCCTGTAAGGCCACAGCCATGAAAACATAGAGGATATAGCAGTCTTGTGACTTCTATCAATGTTCAGTTGAGCACTGGGTAAGCTATGTAGGAGGAGTTTTTTTCATCCTGCTCTGACTCCTATAAGGCTGCATAACCCCTGCTCCTGTCTGGACAGTAATGATTGGTCCTGTGCTGATCACATGCACCCTCCCAAAGATAAAAAAAAACTTCCTAGCAATACACACCAAACTGAGCACGTGCAGAGGGACTCCTAGAGCTCTGTGCTATCAGCAGATGGATTGGGGACAGTAGAAGAAGGGGAGGATCAGAGAAGACAGGATCAAACAGGCTTTTTACACAATGCGGATTTACAGACTGATTTTATTGTTTAGTAATGCTTTAAGCCAGAGACAATTGAGTACTGTCCTTAATACTTTTTTATTGCACTAACATACAGTTTTTCAGGACAGGCTTTCAGGGCGTACCCCCTTCTTCAAGGTCCAAACAGTACTAATGCACAAACGTTTATCATTAACGTTAAAATAAGACAATCTCTGAAGGAAAAAACAAAAAAGCAAAAACAAACAAATGTACACAGCAATGGTAAAACTTGATCTTTAGTGATATGTTGTAAATGTAACTCACTTGAGGACATGTCAGAACAACTTTTGCATGTGTTTTGGGCTTTTCATGGAAGCATCTGAGAGTGTTTCATATATTAAAGGCACATTTTTGTAAAATCATGTAGAAAAGTTGTAGTACAGTATCTTTCAGGTACGTAGAAGAAGGAGTTAAATATGTTTTTTTTTTTTAAATATAATTATTCTTTGATGTCTGATGCTGGTCCTTCAAACTGGACTAGAAATGCTCCTTCAGCTGTTTCTACAGTGTATAAGTAGGTAGGAGAGTTTTGTGTTTTTTGTTGACTCTGGCTCAGAACAAAGATTTCAGGGTACTAAACCTTGACAGTCTACCAAAAATGTGCAGCCTTCCCTCTCTGTAACACCATGACCCAGTGCAAAAAGCTATTATGTTACAGTCACCTGCAGAGTGCCACGTTCAAGGCTTACATTGAGTAATGTTTATTAGACAGTCATTTTAGACCGCCTTGCTTTTAAAATGTGTGAACATTATTGAGAAATTTTGCTACTGCATATGATTTCTTTTTAACTGAAAAATGTGCGCTTAGAATAACTTTTACACCATGTAATTTACTTCAGCAGTAATGTTTGAGGGTTTTTAGTTCAGAGGCTACTGGTCTGGGTGCAGAAAATCCAGAGACTCTGAACAAACATATACATACACAGTTGAAATGTCTTTTGATTTACACACATTTTTCTCAATGCACAGTGAGACAGGCGACATACGTAGTTCCTAATGAAGCAATTCACGAACCTGGTAGCTGGCCAAAGTTACTTAGCTTTGGCATGTAAAATGGACAAAACACATGTATTTTTTTGTTGAAAACTATTTTTATTCGTATTGAATGGGCATAAAGTAACAGCATCAATGCCGACAAAGACATGCACCTACAATTTATATATACTCGCTGGCCACTTTATTAGGTACACTTGCTCAATTGCTTGGTAACACAAATTGCTAATCAGCCAATCACATAGCAGCAACTCAGTGCATTTAGGCATCTAAACGTGATGAAGACAACTTGCTAAAGTTCAAACTGAGTATCAGAATGGGGAAGAAAGGGGATTTGAGTGACTTTGAACGTGGCATGATTGTTGGTGCCAGACGGGCTGGTCTAAGTATTTCAAAAACTGATCTACTGGGATTTTCACGCACAATCTCTAGGGTTTCCAGGATATTGTCTGAAGAAAAAGAGAAAATATCCCGTGTGCGGCAGTTGTGTGGATGAAAATGCCTTGTTGATGTCAGAGGTCAGAGGATAATGGGCAGATTTATTGCTGTGACATTCAGATGGTAGGGTCAGAATTTGGCTTAAACAACATGAAAGCATGGATCCATCCTGCCTTGTATCGACGGTTCAGGCTGGTGGTGGTGTAATGGTGTGAGGGATATTTTCTAGGCACTATCAAGGTGTACCTAACAAAGTGGCCAGTGAGTGTATTCAGTTAAAGAAATAGATGAGACAAGGTGTTTGTAATATAGCATAGCCAGAAGAAATATATTGCTTAGGCAATTGGCAAGTTATAAAATTGCAGAAGACAAATGAAATGAAAGACCTAATCACACCCTATTTTTCAGATTAAGTGCAAAATAATATAAACAAGACCAAATAATTAGTGCAAGGGTTCTCAACCAGGATTCCGTGAAATCCAGAGGTTGCTAGGGGTTTCCATGATCAATTAGCAATTTCTGCTTCTCAGATAAGTTCCCAATGAGACAATTAATCTTTTTATCTATCTGTAAGAGGAGAATTCTTCCCAATGACCACAAGTATGAGGAGCATTCTTCCCACTGACCATCACACTAATGTACCATGAGGTGTAGATATAGTCATTTTTAGCAGGAGTTCCCTGAGACTGGATAGTTATGTCAAGGGTTCCTCTGTGTTGAAATGGTTGAGAAAGGCTTTATTAGAGTATAATTAGGTAAGAAAGTATGAAAACGTAAACCAAAAGTCATGTGTCGTCTCATATATAGGGATATGTGGAACTTGGTAGGATGCTTAGACCTAACAGATCACTTATGAGCATATGGCACTGCAGCTTGAGTACATCAGACCTAAAGATGTAAGAGACACAGGGTTTTTTTACTAAAGCTGGAGAGTGCAAAATCAGGCTCACTTCTGCATAGAAACCAATCAGCTTCCAGGTTTTACTGCTAACGCTTACTGAACAAGTTGAGGTTAGAAGCTGGCTGGTATCTATGCAGAGCCTGGTTTTGCACTCTCCAGCTTTAGTAAATAAACCCTACTGTTTAACTCAAGTAAGAGCTGTGCCTAATGGACAGCAAGTAGAAGATTCTGCCTGCCACATACCTCAGATTTTCTGTATTCTCTGTCATCATAGATCAGTTTCTTGTATGGAAGCATTATTATTATTCTCCACCTTTCATCGTTGCAAGGTGGGCACCCCAGCTTGGGTCTACTCCTTTAGCTATTAGCTTCTTAGCAGTAACCAATAAGCTGTGTAGATAAATGTTTATTTCTTAAAGGATTCTTCAACTCTTCAAAATAAAAAAAGAGGTGGACTAACAACCTGCATCCTCCCAAACCACCCCATGGTCCCTGCTGTAACTGTATTAGATACAGCAAGTCGGTATATTTGAGATCCTTTTCTGTGTTATAGGCAGGGGTTTTCATATCACCAGATTACGACAAAGGCAGCGAGATGATGTACTACAGCAAAGCTTTTATGAAGAAAAAACAGAAGTAATGAGTAGGAGCTGTGCTCCCTGCATACATATCAAGGTTTAATTTTGACTGAGTGTACCTTTAAAAAAGACGTTACATAGTCTAAATGGTAAGCAAGGACAGCAGTATTACTTCCTCACAAAATTGCCTAATTCCATCTGAGGATATTCTGTTTACTCATACATCATGTTTTATCAGTTCTCAGTCACTTTGACCTGTGCAATCAGTAGATATCTGATCTTTGTAGAGAAAAAAAAATGCTCAAAGGTCCATCACTAGCATGGTTTATGTTAATAGTCTATGCAGTAAAGAACAATTCCTGCCTCCCACCAGTCAGGTACAATGCTTTGAAAGGAATTTGATGCATGATATTAAGTATCATGTCTGCTTTTTAAACACATCTAATTACTGTCTGTCTTCATTTGTCAGATGGCAGATTTATGGTTACTCTGATCATTTAAGTGGTCATTTTGTAGACAGTATGAAGAGGATAGCTTGGAGAGGACACTTGAGCCATTTGAAATAATCGTGCTCAAACATGGCCACACATACCTTAAAATGCCTGTCATGCAATACGTTCCATGGCTTCCATTGCTGGCCTCTTTCCGAAACCTTATCTGGCTGTGTCTGACCTCAGTACTTTTGAGTCAGAGATCCAGAACAAGTGTACCATAAATGAGTGCCAGAAAAGTGTCCAAATTTCCTATATCTATACTTGCTCACTTGTCACGGAATCGGACAGCATTAAACAAAAGCATCAGCATGACAGCCAGGGAACCATCTTTCTCAAAAGAAGGTCAGC